TTTTTTGCAAAGACAGGTTTTGTGTACTGGACCTGGCTTTGACATGACTGACACACTCTGCAGACACAAGTAAAAATTGATTATAAACAAACTGTTCTTGACAGCAGTTTTTATCAAAGCTGGAAGAACTTTGCAGTGAACATTTATACAGACCCATCACCTAAATCCTGCAATTAGCATTTTACTGTATTTGTTTTATCACACAGATGTGTATCTATGCATCCTTCTTTTCACCTTTTTTAATGCATTTCAAAGTGAGTTGCAGAAATTAGTATACTTCACCCTTACACGCTTCAGTGTTTACATCATTAATTAAATGTAATTAACTAGACAGTCACCCATAGCTTTTGTGTTTTCATAAAATTTATGTGCATCTTAAAAATACATTCTTTATTATTAGTCAGTGAGTTTTGGCTACTACATACAGCTATGTAACTCAGACTCATATCAAGATTTAAAACATAATCATACCCCCAAAAAGTTCACTTATGCTCCTTCCCAGTCAGTCCTAACCACCACCCTGTCTCACCCCATCCCACAGGGCAGCTACCTGTCAGATTTTCTTCACTGTAGATTTTTGCTTGTTCTGAATGTCATGTAATCATACAGTATGTACTCTTCTGTGAATGGTTTTTATGACTCAGCAGGTTGTTTTGGGAATTAAACCGTGTTGCTTCCCGTTAGTGTTTCACTTAAAGGTTTGAGCCATCATCAGTGATCATTATTTGTACATGAGGTACAAAATAGTGGTATTCCATCTTTTTTTTAAAGTGGATATACTCAAAACTTCCTTTGATCAATCATTGGTTACCCTTAGGTACACAGTTCTTAGAAGGAAAATGGTATTGGTATTTTTCCCTTTACAACTAGTTTTATGATGACTTAGTTCCCTGGCATCCTCCAAAGGTAAATAATGAAGGGTTTATCGCTTCATTATGAATTCATATTTAAATATATTTGATGTGTTTCGGTCCATTACCATTTTTCTTGGTACTCACATTGTCCCATTTTGGTTCAGAGGAACTTCCTCAGGTTGGCTCTTCCTTTGACTTTACTCATTAGTCTTTGACAGCTTTCTTCATTTCTGATATGATGTGATTTTCCAAGTTCATTTTCTAAGTTCATATGTCGTGCCTCAGACCTAGAATCAGCCATTTCCCAAGTAGCCATGTTTCCATTTAGTGGGAAATACCATTTCGGGACTACATTCTGGGTGCTAGGGGAACTTACTGGTACTGGGTTGTTGTTTCTTGGCTTTTTTGGCAGAAAGAACTGGGAAGTGTCTTTAAGGTAAAATACATCATGAACTAATACCAATGTTTCCGATTTAAAATCTGGACTGTTTTTACTTAATTTCATTCATCTGACATCTACATCTTTCTTCGCTGCTGAAAACCTTAGTTTCCAACAACACCAATATAATTATTCATTTGCTTTAACTCACAGTAAACACAAGAGCTGCAGAATAACAATGCCAATATCAGCATCAACAATAGGAATACTAAGCATTATAAGATTATTTTTCTTTCATTAAGGATATAGTTAAATTGCTGTCTTAAAGTTACTTAAAATAATTTTCTCTGTGTTATAGCACCAACTCAACATCATAGTTCATGTATTTCATTTTGCTTTTGATTTTTAGGAATTTTTTTAACTGACATAATATACAGTATCCTGTTGGAGGTATACCTCAGTAATTCATGGAAGTTACCTGTTTTGTTTTGGATTTCACTTACCCTTCTATTTAAAAAAAAAAAAAGTGTGTGTGTGTGTGTGTGTGTGTTTAATTGATGTATAACTTAAACATAGGTGAGTAAATATTATAGTATCATTTAAACTTTGGTGATAAAAATTAGGAAGTGGTTGCCTGGGTTTGACCGTAAAGAGGCTAAGGGAATTTTCTGGGGTGACAGAAATTCTTATCCCTATCTTCCTGTCACCTCATAACGTACTGTGCTTAGAAAAGGCATACTGTGCTTGAAGAAAGACATCACAGGTACAGTAAGGATCCTGTTTCAGAAATGGAAAGAAACGGTAGTAAGATTACAAGAAATAGATTTTTAGAGACAGGTCACTGAAGATAGAGCATGGTATTATAAATGTAATGTCCTTGGAGTAAAAATTTGAAAATAATTTTGTGTTGTAAGGTATAAATCAAACTCAAGTTTTAGAGAAAATTTATTTGTTTTTAATGATCAACAATTTATTTCATACTTATAATTCATTTATTTTAAGCAGTAATAATCTGGGTCTCATCAAATAACATTTTTCACTCTAATGTTTTGAAATCTATTTTTAATGACCGGTTCTTCCATTTTTGTATTTAGGGCAACGGAGAAGTTTGCTGATTGTAAAACAAAACGTGACACCCCCACCTCATGCACTGTTGATTATTCTCCTGTGTATTTTGTCAACATTGAAGTCTGGGTAGAAGCAGAGAATGCCCTTGGGAAGGTTACATCAGATCATATAAATTTTGATCCTGTAGATAAAGGTAGTTATAACACTGAATTTGAGAATTTATTAGATTTAATGGCTTATTAATTAGTTTTTCAATTTTAATGTAGAAACAACCACTTATTATTTTAGTGACTTTTACAAATTCATTTTATCAACATTAAAAATAATTTGGAAAAAGAAAAATATCCATAATCCAACTGCACTCATAGCAGTTTTTATTTTGAATGTTATCTGCTGGTATTTGTGCAGTTACCAAACAGTATTTATAGCATAGTAATCATGGTACATGGGGTCCATTTTTATTGTGTTTTTCTTTGCCTATAAATATTTGTCTTTTGATATTGGAACCTGAAAAAATTAACAAGCATAATAAATTGACAAAGAAAACTAAAATTTCTTCAGAAACGTTATCTTTTCATTATAATAGTATGACATAAGTACTGTTTTCAGAAAAATTAGTTCATATGGTATGAGTAAATCAATATAGTGAAATATAAGAAGTATATTTTGAGTCTGTATAAGAAGTTGTAAAAATGATAAAAATTCGGATTTATTTTATTCTTCAGTGAAGCCCAATCCACCACATAATTTATCAGTCAGCAACTCAGAGGAACTGTCTAGTATCTTAAAATTGACATGGATCAACTCAAGTATTCAGAGTTTTATAAGACTGAAATATAACATTCAATATAGGACCAGAGATGCCTCAACCTGGAGCCAGGTAACTTGCAAGTTACTGTTTATGCAGATAGTCTTAGAACCCTCTAACCTAAAAGTCTCAATATACTAAGGTTGTGAATATATGTAATATTTTGTTTCACACCTCTTCTTGATCTGTATTTCATGCAAGGGCAAACAGGAAGACATTCGGATAGAAAATATAGTCTTGCTGAGTACAGTAGCCCTTAAATGAAGTATGGAAGGGATGTAGGGTGGCAAGAAATAGTATTTTTGGTGGGAGGTGAAAGGAACACAAAAAAGAAGAATTAAGTGGGGGAGTATATGAAGAGATTATATAGCAAAGGTAGAGAGCAGGGTTTAACTAAATCTGGAGGCCAATTTCATCCTGCCATCTGTTCTTATAAACAAAGCCACACTCATTTTTTTTAATATTGTCTTTGGCTACTTTGTGCCACAGTGGACGAGTTGAGTTGGAACAGAGAGTATCTGGCCCACAACCTAAAATATTTACTATCTAGTCCTTTTTAGAAAGCTTGTCAACCTCTTAGTAGAGGAAGGAATATTGGGGAACTTCTAAGCCTGAAAAGGAAAAGAATAGTGTACCCAGAGATGATGCTATCACCAAAAGAAGTACTTAGAACTTTTTAAAAGGATGTCTGTCACCATAGCTTTGTGTTCCCCATAATATTCTTTGTTGTAATTTCATTTATCACTAACAGTATGCTTTTGCTTTCTCTTATTGCAGTAATGAGTTCATAAGGGATTTGAGCCCATGACCTTACTACTTCTGCTCTCCATTCCACTTAAAGGGCTCAAAATAAAACCAGAAAAAGCAACAAACAAAAATGGATTAATGCTTTATGTTGTACAGAGAGGATACATACCTAAACTTCAAAATATTTTTAATAACATAGAATCTTAATTCACTGATAGAAAAAAAGGCCCCTATTTTTGTATTCAATATTGGAATCCCATAGTAGTAGAAAGAATCATTTATCTTTATTCTCTCGTTTCCTGAAAACCAAGTTTATATGCAATGATAGTTTTTATTTTTCTTGATTGGGCTTCATTTTGCCTATCCAGAGTTACACTCTGTTCTTCTCTACCCTACTCTTTGTCTTGGAATGCTGACCTGTATGAATTTCATCTGTGGGTTCACATTGTCTCTGGTTTCCTAGTGAATGTGATTAATGGGAGGAGGGGGAAGAGGGCCTAGCACAAGAGAGGAGAGAAGTGAAGTGAGCATATTTATTTTCCCTGCTTCCTCCCTGGAGCTGCTGTCTCTCAGCCTAAGGTCACTGGTCCTGTCAAGTTAACCCTGTCTCACCCTCCTCTCCCAGTTTCTGCTACTTCCCCTCGTCCCTTTGGGGCTAGGGGTGGTAACAGTGACAAGCCCCAGAGTACTGACCACTGCCTAAGTTTTCCCTACACTTTACCCATATTTCCTTTAGTAAACCCTTCATGAATTAAAGTCTAATTGGAATACGCCATCTCTTTCCTGCTGAGACCCTATGTGTTACAGGCTTCATGGAAGGAAGATATAAAAATCAAGAAAAGGAAGGACGGATTAATAATAGATAGTTCCATACTTCCCAAATCTGTTAACTTACTGACTCTGACTGCTTTTTGACTTGCATTTATTTCTTTCCAGCGTTTGTTTGTTAGTTCTCTTTTATTAAATCAGTTTCTAAGATCTTAATGGAATTTAGGACACTTATAATAAATTCCATGGGGTTTTTTTGTTGGTTGGTTTGCTTTGATTTCAGATTCCTCCTGAAGATACAGCATCCAGTAGAACTTCTTTCACTGTCCAGGATCTTAAGCCTTTCACAGAATATGTGTTTAGGATTCGTTGTATGAAGGAAGATGGTAAAGGATTCTGGAGTGACTGGAGTGAAGAAGCCAGTGGGATCACATATGAAGACAGTAAGTAATTAAGATCCATGAAGAAGTAAAGGTTTGGAATTATGGCTATGACTTGTGTCAGGTCTTAATAGTATAAACCTCATTGCTTCTTACTTTGTGATCATTCTGTTCAAACTTACATTTTACACTTTTATTTTTAAGGACATAAAGATATAAAATGTGCATTATTGATTGTATAACTCTATTTGATTACTAATGAAAGAAGATTACCATGGAATTTTTTTTAGATACCTTGAGAAAACCATTGACATAACAGTTAAATCCAAAACATTTTATTTAAAAAGGAATGTTTCACAGTATCCCTAACTAGAAAATCATCCTGAGTCAATAACGTTAACAAAATATACCATAGACTCTCACTATCAGAAATATATTTGTACTATATTTTTATTCATTTTTTTCCCTACCATCACTTAATAAACCCCTAGAAAAGGATCCTAAAGTTTAGGTTGGTTAGTTTATTATCATTTTCCCTTTTTCCTCTCCATGATCATATAGGGCATATAGTGCACAATCCAAAAGTTATAAAGGGGTGTATGTTATAAGGTAAGATCCCCTCCCCAAAACACCTAACATTACTTATTTATTGTATAGCAATCAAGAAGTAGTCCTGTGGCATAGAGATTTTTCTTTCTGAACATTTTTCATTCTAGTTTCACCCTTTAGATGTCAATAGCAACAACTATGGCTTTAAAACCTTCTGTACCACCTATATCCCTTCACTTCCAGCTCTACTAGCAGTTTATTTTTTTTTTTTTATTTTTTTTTTTTT